TACTGCAATAGTTTCAGCTGGCAGACTTGGCAGGAACCCTTATTACAGTGTATGGCGGGCTAAATTGGTACAACTGCTGGGTTTTTTAAAAACACAAATCTGACATGAATAAGGAGTTGCTGGCTTGGTGAGGAAAAAGGTTAAAAAATTAAAGGTAGTAATGAGATGACAGGAGCAAATAAAAGACGGAATTGGGTAGAAGTCCACAAAGAAAGGGTCTTGTCCCAGAGAAGAGTTGCCAAACAAGACGAAAGAGTACACAGAGAAGGGTTATTGTTCAGCTCCTTAGATAGCGACGGGCCCTGTCCTAGATGGTTAGCTGCCCTACCTGAACACAGACAAACAATTAATTGACTCATCAACTTCCATTCTAGCCACATTGCCTCCTGCCAGCCTTGCACAACGCTCAAACAGCCAGAGGGTAGCGCAGGGTCTGATGCAGAAAAGTCCTCCAGACTGAGCACAGACAGCACCGTAACCATGGTGTCCTCTCCCTTATCCTTGTGCAGTGCCTGTGTATGGAGAAGGCAAGCACAGCACGTCTCCTTGAACCAGATCTGCAGCAGTGGCAACTTCAGACTGAGGCAAGTGGCAGTGAGAGGACACCTGAGGCTCTTCACTAGTGACAAGAGTCCAGCAAGTTAGAGAGCCTGGGAGAGAACAAAGTTGGCTTGGGAGCTAATTTCTTGATTCCCTCATTTTTAATCAGAATTTGTGTACACACACGTGTAAGTGGATCTATCCATGAGAAAGAAGCAAAAAGATAAAATGTGAAGAACTCTTTCACTCTAGGTTTTATTTTTAAATCAAGCCCTGGTGCTGAGAAATTTCAGAGTTGATCTTTATGAGCTACTGCTAGGGGACAGTCTAAATGTAACTGTAAAAGATTAAGGCCTATACCGCTTTTTTTTTATTTTGAATCCATGAAGCAGCATGACAGACTGAGGTACATCCTAAAATTTTTATAGACTAAAGAGAATGTGAATGCTACTTTTTGAGAGAAGCAATTTTCATTTTCTTCAGAGAATTTCTTCCTTTTTCTTTAGACCATTTTACTTTGTGACTTTCTGAATCTGTTACTGATACTCATTTCCCTTGGGCATGGTGTTACAGGAGAAAGAGGCAGCCAGTTCTTTCATAATCCTTAGGGGAAAATCCAATCTGATGTGAAAGTGTAGTCTGTTATAAATTATCCAAATCAAATCAACAGTAATCTAAACCAGAATATTTGCATTGTTAGCAGTCCAAATTAATATACTCGGGAATATTTTACAGGACTTTCATCCCAGGACCCTAAATAAATTTACCTGCAAGATCAGCCTGTCTTTCACACAGCCATGTAAACAGGAGGGATGCCATGGAAGTTGATTGGGGTGGAACCATTCCAACATAAAACTAGCAGAAGTCAGGCTCCAAATTCAATGCTTAACGTGAAAAACACTCTTTGACCTGAAACACTGTCTGATGCATCAAAACTTTTGACCCTTAAAAAGTTTCCTTTTAATGCTGAAAAGCCTGCATGTAGTTAAGGACTTGTGTTCTAGTTTTCAGGATATTCTTGTTTAAGTGTTTTATACAATATTATAAAAACTTGAGGGTAGAGGTGTTGGTGTGGTTTCACTTAGCATACATCTGGCGTGGCTGCCGTAGAGCAGATTATGATCTTTCTTCATCTACCTACTAGAAGATCTACCTAGCTTGAAATTTCCCTTCTACAGAGAAGTTACCAAGTTCACGGGTGTGATGACAACTCTCCACACTACTCTCCTCTTTCTGCCTGGGAGAGGGGTCGTGCTAATGAGCATGAAGGTTTGCATTTCTATAACTCCATTGTTCTCTGAGAATAGTTCCTTGGGATACTCGATAGAAATCCAGAAGAAAAGAGAAGTTTGGTTTTACAGCAAGCAACATGAACTTCAGAGACATTTGTGGGCTATTTTCCGTAAATTCTCCTTACACTCCTCTTCTGCCCAATCCATGATCTTGAAAGTATAGCTAATCTAGATCACATTCAACACTAATGCCAGTGGAACAAGTTCCTTTCTGTATCAACCTTCTGAAAAAAAAATCTGGTCTGGAGATCCATCTCACATCTGAAAAAATCTGACCGAGTACATCTGACCACTTTGGGACATTTGGGCTATTATAGCCACAGTGTCTGATACCACAGCATTTTGAACCGAGAAGCATGGAGTTTAACATCTCACTTGTACTACTAAATTGCAGAAACTTGAAAATAACATGGATGTTTAATGTGCATAATGGTTAACAGTAATTTTCAGATTTTCAGCCTGGGTATCCAACACATCTAGTGAGACACTATTATTAATGAACTATTTTCCCCAGTGATAGGATTGTCAAACAAATGGCATTTGGTAATTCAGGGTAATCCTAACATGATGGAAAGGTAATAAGCATAATCAGTTCAGAGTTTCACATCAAGGTCCTGATCATACACTTTGGACCACTAACAGCACCAAGATTCAAGCATATTTCACAAAGTTATTTATGCAGAATTGCTACCACTAATGAAGGAAACCTGTTTATTGCATATGTAAACCTGAATAAACCATTTAACTCTGAAGCTGATTGACAGCCACTTTCACAAAATTCATCAAATCATGTGAAACTGCATTTTGGTTTAATGCCATATGGTTTAATGTAAGGGTAGAAAATTCTTTAGAAACTTCTTAAAAACCATAACATGAAAAAATAATTACTTTAGTTCAGCAGTGATACAAAAATTAAGGTGCTCTACCTGTACTTGGAGAAGCATATGCCAGCATCTAGCATTACGTACATTTCAAAATTAATATCTATGTTTCAAAAATATTAACACATTATCAGAAAATACTTTTTTAATTAAGGTCCCTGCATATCTCTCTGTATTTATCATCTTTATAAGCAATACACAGAGCAAAATGTGTAGTTATTCACAGGATTCTGTATTAATTTAGCAATCCCTAAGACTTGGATCTATTTATGGAACACTAAAAGATTACTGAAGAGAAGAAGGAATCTTACCCCTAAATATAACATTATTCCATACCACATAAATTTCCAGAAAAAGCATCGTCGAAGAGCATTAATAAGTTTGGGTTTTTTCTTTGAGGTTGCCAGCTCTCTGTCCCACTCTCTGAAAAGGAACCGAGAAACAAGAGCATTAAGTTGCGTGAGCAAATACATGGCTCTATGGCTCTGACATACTTCAATTCACTCAAGTATATCCAGGGAGATTTAGCTAAGGTGACTAATGAAAGAACGCTTTGCAGAGACCCCAAAGATCTGGCCTTCATTGACTTGATAGATCAATAAAAGTTCAAACCTAGTTCAGCCACATAAATGGCAGTTTTAAACACTCAGCCATACATCACCCCGCAGGGAATTAATTCATGAAAAGGTCACATTGTATATTTTAAAGAAACCTGCTGTACTTAAGACCAAAGCACAAATAATAGGCAAATAAACGTTTTGGAGCTCTTCCAGTCTGCAAAAAAAAAAAGAAAACAGCAACAAAGCATCAAAAATGTGACTTTTCTACAGCACAGCATTATTTTTAACCTGTGTTGCCGGGACAATAATTTTCTATTCGATAATAAGTTGCTGATCAGAAGCAATGCTATATACAGAAAGCATATGTTCAGTCAAAATTCAACTCATAGGTTAAAGCACTCCTAAGAATATCCTCAGCTAACTCTTTTTTCCATTTTTCAACAGAATATTAAATAACCAGAATATTCCATTTATAAGCTATCAAAATGCATTAAGCATACAATGTTCTCAATACTTTCCACCAGTTTTGAACACATATGTCACACTGCAATTAAGTTTAATCAGATTGGCACAACAATGCAGATGTGAGCTTCTCTAGCACACCAGGGAAAGCTACACCAGAGGCTGGGGGAGAGGGACCAGATTTAGGCACTTGTATCCGTAAAAGTTACTCCCAAGTGTAGCACAGTTTTGAATTAGGACCCACTGAAACAGGGTAGAGAAGAGAGGAAGCCTAAATGAGGAAAGTCAGAGTACAATTCCTACAGAAGCAATTAGTCTTTCAATAGTGATATCAAAGGAAATTAAGAATGTTATTTAGTTGAAAAAAAAAAACAAGGTTTTACAAGGATATTTTGGGAAGAAAGAACAGCAGAATAGGGAACTAGCATTTAAACTGACTCTAGCTTTGCCAGCCAATGGACAGATGTCACAGGTACCTGTATACAGCAATTTAGAGCAGGTGATACATCTGCACCAGGGATCCCAGTCAGCTCCAAAGGACAGCTGTGTGCCAAACGAGGACATACCTGAGCCAGGCAATGCTACTTAAACATTTTATCCAACAGCTTGCACCCAATGCTACTTAAACATTTTATCCAACAGCTTTTTAATTAAAATTGCAGTGTGATTTCTGAAACAAAGCTATATCATGAATCTTTCATACCTTTCTAGTTTTTCAGAAAGATTATCAGCAGAATCTGCAGAAGGGATTTGATAAATATCTGACAGCTCCAACCGTCGTCTGTAACCCTTTTTCAAAATTGGTATTGTCCATCTAAGCAAAAACAAATAAAAATTATAAAATCATCAGTTTCTGAGGTTAATTGTGGAGTTGCATTGTCTCACCCTGAATGTTTTGTCCACAGCACCCAAATATGTGTATGTATGTGCAGACACACACACACACACAAGATGATACAATATAGTGCAGCTCCGCACTACATTTACAAAACTATATTGACAAACACAATATTAAAATAATAATTGCAAAACTGTTGCATTTTATCAGTTTTGGGGTGAGATCATGTCCCAAACTTCCTATTCGATCAGTAGCAGATAAACAAACAGGGGACTGAGACCTTTTTATTGTATTTCCAAATATCTGCTATGTCCATATAAATGAATAATAAATCAGAACTATAGTAAATTGGATGTATAAGTTTCATTTCTATAAGGCAAAAAATCTTAATATAGCTTGAATGTTCCTTTGACAGCTTACATTGCAGTATGCACTTAACAACCCAAGAGATCTTTCTCAGGACTCCTCATAAGATCTTCGTTGCGTCCATCATATGTAAACATTTTGCACTTCTTTTTTCAAACGTCATGTTTAAAAATTTAATACTAATTTAAAGGGTATGCTGAATTAAACCAAAGCAGGAAAAAACTCTAGAATGGCTACTCTGTAGAGAAAATCTTTACAAGTCATTACCAATTTTATCAAACAATCGGGATCCTGAAAGGCCTGTGAATTCCCAAGTGCCAACTCGTACAAAATTTTGCAGCAGGTTCTGTTCAGAAATCTCTTTGAAAGCACAGGGCGAAAACAAAACTTAAACAAACAACCAAAAGAACTAATGGTATATTTTGAAACTATGTGAGTTTCTGCTTTACTCCCATTGTTAAAAATATTTTCTTAAAAAAATGAAATGCCTGCAAGAGAAGCAGCTTGCGGTTGATTGCTGTCATGCTTCCATATGTAAACACAATTTGTAAAAAAAAAATCCCACATGACTTATGATCATAAGATAAAAGTTATGATCAGCAAAACCAGTAAAATCTCAATCATTTTTTGTTTTAAATTGTCTTTATAGACTATAGTTAACAAAATTGCAAAAGAAATGCAATAAAGTTTCCCATGGTCAGCTTACTGGGGACGCTTACCCATGTGTCTGTAAGAACAAGTATCATACACACAAAGCAATCCACATTCTCAATTGCAGCCTCTGATGGTGCAGAGGCTGATACAAAGGTAAAAGAACATCATTAGACACTATATGAGTGCAAAAAGGCCTTAACATTACAGTCAAAGCCTATTTGTGTGCAACTGTGTGCACACACATGCACACTCTAACATTTACTTTAATGAAGTTATGAATCATATGAGACACTAGTCTATGATCATAGAATCATCACACAATCATAGAATGGTTTGGGTCGGAAAGGACCTCAAAAATCATCTAGTTCCAACCCCAATGCCATGGACAGGGACACCCTTCACTACACCAGGTTGCTCAAAGCCTCATCCAACTTGGCCTTGAACACTTCCAGGGATGGGGCATCCACAACTTCTCTGGGCAACCTGCTCCAGTGCCTCACCACCCTCAATGTAAAAAATATCTTCCTTATATCTAATCTAAATCTCCCCTCTTTCAGTTTAAAGCCATTGCCCCTTGTCTTCTCACCACATGCCCTTGTAAAAAGTCCCTCTCCAGCTTTCTTGTAGGCCCCCTTCAGGTACTGTAAGACTGCTAGAAGATCACCCCGGAGACTTTTCTTCTCCAGCCTGAACAGTCCAACTCTCTCAGCCTGTCTTCATAGGAGAGGTGCTCCAGCCATAGGAGAGGTGCTCATCCCCATAATTCAGTAAAGCACAAAGATATTTCCCAAGTGAACAGTTGTGTCACACTCATTGCAAAGAGAACGTGTTCTAGGAAATGAGAAGATTATCTTTCATTTCTGCAATCGTATTATAGTTTCAGATGAATTGTATGGGCTTTAGCTCGATCTTTGACACCGCTGTAGCTGAGAATTAACACACTATTCGTGGTATGTTACAGCCAGGCAGCTAGGAGACTTCACTTTGGAGAGTCGTTGGTAAAACATCCATAAACTTTACTACTGCTGGAAACAGGGGTCAATGTTTTCAGGGATGTAGCAAGATGGATTAGAAGATAACTTTTGAGTTTAAAATGATACTGTTACGTGAAAGTCTTCCATGGCCACTGAAAATGATAAATCAGGTACTGATTTGTATTTTGCCAGCTCCTGATGGCAGAAAGGATCAGTTGCTATTGGCTTTGTGCACATCTTGTGGAGAAATGGCTACAGGAACACAAACTCTCATGGACCAGCTTCACCAAAAAGTTCTCTACATGTGGATATTTTGGCAATGATAGACTGAATACAAGTTATGGGACACTAAAACACTACTGCAGCCAACACGAGTAAGTAACTACTTCCTAAGCATTTAATTTCCAATACTGTAACTAAGTAATAACCTTGATGATCCCCTTAATAATGCTTTGAGACTGCTATAAGCAATTCCCAACTTGTCTTGGCAAAACAGAAATGCTTCACAGTTTCAGACTTTGTATGTTTTGGGAAAACATTTTTCCTTGCACTGTTTCCCTCTACAGGTTTGATTTTCTTTATGTTTCTGATTAGCACCTACGTTGGCATTTTGCCACTGCCTGAAGTAACGAAACGTGACTGCATTTAGAAAGTGAGCAGAGTGGTGTTCTATCATTTGGGGAAGGCAGCATGCTTAGTAGATCTACTGTGTCCTAGAAGTGTCTCTTGTTCTACTTGGCACTTAACCAAGTGCACTTATCAGTGCCACCTAAATTACGTAGTCCCTAAACCACCCTGCTCTCCCAAGTCAGCAAGTTTGATAGAGACTTCGTGCAGTCCTTGTCCTCATCTCTCTGCTCATCAGGGTAGCTGCAACTGTGGTATATGAACTCCTCCAGCCAGCTAAAGGAGCGGTTATGACACCTTCCCCTGGGGACCTCCTAATCTGCAGCCAGGTTCGTACCGCAGGCTGCTGGCAGGGCTTGCTCAGAGGTGTTCACCTTCCAGCTGCCCTGGCATTGCTCGGAAGTCCCACCCTAACAAGATCTGGCCAATTTGTGAGCTGCGCCAAGTGGCTACAGGTTGGAGTGGTAATCGTGGGAGGAGTTGGTCTGTCACATGCTGTTTGTCTCAGATTTTCAACAGTTGCTTGGGTTGTGCTGTCATGAACTGTGAGAGACAGTATATATTTTATTAAAAGGAATATACCAGACTTGGAATACATAAATATCCCCTAAAATCAACCTTTTGCAAGATTCCAGTAGCATCTAGTTTACCATTATGCTCTTTTTGCAAAGTTTTGAAAGCACAATGGGTATAAATTTATTTTAACTAGCAATATAATCTGTAAATATCAATATTTATCACCAGTTAATGCAGCTCAGTCAGATTTTGTCAATGAATATGGCTCTGCTATTTTTTGGCTTAATAGAAACAATTTGCCAGCATTAATCCTGAGTTTTTTCTTGTTATGGTTGCTGAGAAAGAGAAATTTCTTTCGAAAGGAAGAGAGCAACAAGGAAGGGAAACAGATTGGCTTTACAGCATTATGTTAGCAAATGCCACCGGATTACTGGCTGGCATTTAATGAACTCTTTCACAGAGAAACCTGTAGTGCTGTCAGAGTTTTGCCACCAACTAGGAATGTTATTATGGGTACACACACATGAAAGCCAGCAGGGGACAAGTTTCAAGGGTGTACAGTAGAAAAGAAGAAAAGATGGAAAACAAGTTCCACCTCTATTATTGATTGCCTGTAGCAAAAAATACCTTACAAGCTTGATATGCAGATTGCATATACATAACATACTGTTTTAATTTCCCTTTTTGTAGATTTCTAATGACCATTTCTTCGTCATTCACTTGAGCAACATATAATAGATTTCTTACTACAGCTATTTCCTTCTCCAGTGTGTTCAGCTTCATCCCACTCAAGCAAATTGTACCGATAGGACAGATGTCTTTGGCTTTCCAGAAAGCATTAACACAGACTGTTAACTTGTCAATAGGATTTGACTCTCCCTTAAGGCTGCTTTGCGTGTCACTGAAAACAGAAGGAGCCTCTGTGTTGCTAAGCCAACTGCCTAGATCTCCCTCCTTAGTGCAGGGATTCCCCGGCTCCGACAGGCCCTTCAGGCCAAGAAGCACGGGATGTTGGGACAGTGACAGAGCAGTGGGGCTGGGCTATCCAAGACCTGCAGAGCAGAGCAGCTCTCCTGCAAGGGTCCCTGATCAGGCTGACATCATCTCAACAGGTGTCCTGTGCACGACATGGCAATATCTACTGCGCAGCACCAAGTCGACCATGCCCTCACTCCCTTCTCGCACAAAGCATTGATACCTGTGCGCTATACAGTTAAGCATTGTGCCTGCAGCTCCTAAGGAACTGGACCTAAATCTTGATGGAGACTGAGCAAGAAAAGTGCCTCTGGCTTTGTCTCATCCCTCCTTTTAACAATTAAGAGGGAGGGGGGCCAGGGAACATAATCAAGACATGATTATGATGCTTTGGAGCCGAAGTTTTACAAGGTGTTTGTAGATCAATTAATTCCTACTGAATGTGGGAAAAGACTGAGGTACCACGTAGATCTCAGATGGTCCCAAAGAGTAAAACCAGACCGGACAGCAGAACAAATTGTAAATTTTTGCTTACTTTATACTGGAGGTGGCAGCTCTACTACACTAGAAACCGCTTCTCCAGAAGAATGTCTGCATCACCAGCCATCTTCTCTGAGCATCCTGCAACACAGCCGCCAAGGGTGACCCGAGCTCTGCGGAATCCTTGCTAACAGATGGGACAAGTCATCGCGCCCACAGAGCACAACTGCCAGGCACCACAGCCTAATTCCTACACCTCCCTTACCCTCAACAGAGTACAGTGGCAGTTATTTTGTTTCAAATGGTAACCTGATGAAATAGCATGTTATATATTCTGAAAACTCTATTAAACCTTTAGCATTTTCCCCTTTAAAAACAAACAAATGCAACACTCTGAGCTTAATATT